CAGAATGAAGACAAGGAATAAACAGCCACTATTCACTTCCTTGGGAAAAGTATTTCTCTGCATTTGATCCATCACTGGGGAGCTCTGGGTGAGGCTCAGATCCCTGCCCAAGGAATAAAAAAATAAAAAAAAGATCCACCAGAGCTTCACCTTCAGCTCAGCAGACAACCATTTTCCCCCTTTTGTACCTTTCACTGCTGTATTGATCTAATTGGACTTTAGGAGTTAGCATAGATGGCATGGCATTCCTTCATCCTGCTGTTGTGCTGGGTTGTCTCAGGGACATTTTTTTTCCTATCAGCTTTGGCCAGAGTTTCGTCGTCGTCGTCTTCCTCCGCTTGTCTGGGTCCGGGTTGCGGGGGCAGCGTCCCAACTAGGGAGATCCAGACCGTCCTCTCCCCGGCAACCTCCACCAGCTCCTCCGGCAGGACCCCAAGGCGTTCCTGGACCAGATTGGAGATGTAACCTCTCCAACGTGTCCTGGGTCGACCTCGGGGCCTCCTGCCAGCAGAACATGCCCAAAACACCTCCCCAGGGAGGCGTCCAGGAGGCATCCTGACCAGATGCTCAAACCACCTCAACTGACTCCTTTCGATCCGGAGGAGCAGCGGTTCTACTCCGAGTCCCTCCCGAATGTCCGAGCTCCTCACCCTATCTCTATGGCTGAGCCCAGCCACCCTACGGAGGAAACTAATTTCGGCCGCTTGTATCCTCGATCTCGTTCTTTCGGTCATTACCCAAAGCTCATGACCCTTAGGTGAGGAATGGGATGTAGATCGACCGGTAAATCGAGAGCCTGGCTTTCTGGCTCAGCTCCCTCTTCGCCACGACAGATCGGCTCAGCGTCTGCATCACTGCAGACACCGAACCAATCCGCCTGTCGATCTCCCGATCCCTCCTACCCTCACTCGTGAACAAGACCCCGGGATACTTAAACTCCTCCACTTGAGGTAGGACCTCTCTCCCGACCCGGAGTTGGCAAGCCACCCTTTTCCGGTCGAGAACCATGGTCTCAGATTTGGAGGTGCTGATCCTCTTCCACAGTTTGATGCTATCTAACTTTCATACATCCTAGCTTTGATATATTATAGGTCCCACAGATTCCATTGATTCTACAGTTATTCATTTATATTTGCAAGGATCCTCTTAGTTACCGTAATTTCCGGCCTATAAGCTGCTATTTTTTTCCCCTGTGCTTTGAAGCCTGCAGCCAATATCATGATGTGGCTTATGTGTAGATTTTTGTTGGCCAACAACCACTAGAGGCACTCTCCAGCAGTAAAGTGAGACAGGCACAGCAAAACATTATGCGCAGAAGAAGGCACTCTATGATTTAAAGCAGCCCGTTTACACATCAGGCACACCCTTGTCATGGAAAACACACGGAGGATTGCATATGCTGCAGCTTTCAAGCTAAAAGCGATCGATCTGGCCAAAACAAACAAGGAAACAGAGCCACTTCACGGGAGCTTGGCATAAATGAATCAATGGTGCGACATTGGAGGCGGCAGCGAGAACTCAGTCAATGTAAAAAAACGACAAAAGCTTACAGAGGAAATAAAAGCAGATGGCCGGAATTGGAAAACATTCTTGAAGACTGGGTGAACACATAAAGAGCAGACGGCCGAGGTGTTTCCACTGTTTCCATTGTGCAGATCATTACTAACCAGGCATGTTTTGTGTGCAGTTTTTATTTTCTAATAATCCAGGGCTTATTAATGCTGTGTCAGCGCTGTTCTTTTCTTCTAAACATGCAAATTACTGGTAATAATGTGTCAGTGCTGTTTTTATTTTATAACCATCCAGAAATATGAACGCTATCAGTGCTGTTTTCTTTTCTAAACTTGCAGGCACGTTCAACCGTGTTTAAAATTCATTTTGTTGAATTAAAACAACAATGAAAAACTTCCGTGTAGAGTCTTTCTGTCTAATTATCTTATGTCATGGCCATACATGCACTGTGCGTCGGAGACCTGCATGTGGCTGCTGCGCCACGGCTTGTATTTGAGTGTGGCGTGTGTGTAGAAAACCTTTTTTTGCTGGTGCGGCTTATATTGAGGTGCGCTCTATAGTCCGGAAATTACGGTATTTCAGAATTAGTCCTAATTTTGTTGTGCTTTGTCTTTGATGTTTCTCATTTCCCATTCATTATAGTATTTTGCAGAGGTGTGGACTTGAGATACATGACTTGGACTCGAGTCAAACTCGAGTCAATATTTTAATGACTTCTGACTTGACTTGATAAAATCTATAAAGACTTCCAACTTGACTCGGACTTGAACGCCAATGATTTTCGACTTTAATCGACTTGCATCTGTTGACTTAATGGTGATTTGAGCATATTTGATATTTAGCACAAAAGTGGCACGACATGGACAAAAATCATAAATTGTTCTTCGTTCTGGGTTTGATCTTGTACTGCTAAATGCAGCAGCACTTTGTTCATAATCAGTTACTGTTGCACTTTCTGCATGTTTGAGCAAATAAATTAAGCTTTAAGAAGCTTCATTTCAGGAATGTATTTAATATCATTGTCATTAAATTGAAGTTGGACAGATGACTTGATTATGACTTGAAAATTCAAAGATAAGGACTTGGACTTTACTTGGACTTCCACATCATTGACTTTGGACTCGACTTGGACTTGGTTGTCTTTGATTTGGACTTGACTGGAAAGACTTGTGACTTGCAAAACAGTGACTTGGTTACACCTCTGGTATATTGGTTTTCGATCACTTCCTTTTTTCTGTGGTTATTAACCATTTTTTGAAAGACGCGTTTGCCTTATGTCTCATGGTCTGTCAGCAATTTGTTTTTACTTTCTAAATTCTTAATGCGTCGTTGCACTTTTAAAGTAATTGTTGATATTTGAATCTGCTTCCTGCAAGCCTGCAGAAATGGGTCCTCCTTCTAACACATCACATAACGCCCGGCGATTAGGACACACTCTGATGATATTGGCTTGACACTCTCTTCAACTATTAACTTTTTTATTGTTAAAAAGGATCTGGTCTTTTCCAGGCTCTAAAATAATTCAAATCTCATTTGAAGTTTACAAAACTACACAAAAGATTCAGCTCAGGTGTATTTTTAATTCCAAAAATTCTGCAACCCCCCCCCAAACAAACCCAAAACAAACAAAAAACATGTTTTGTGTTCCCACGCTCTGTGTGTAATCAGTAAATCAGGGTTTGGACATTTTCCACGAGGGCAGTGTGAGGACACGTGTGGGAATGAAAGAGTTGATTTTATCTACTGATTTGTTCATGAGAGTTTTTCTCCAGACAGTTACAGCTTAGATATATTTAGCTCCCCCCCCCCCCACCCCCCCCACCCCCCCACCCACCCACCCCCCACACACAGCAGCAGGTAAACGCCACATGACATTAACCTGGCCAGCCATCCTATATATGACAATATTTAGTCGGGCCACGGTACGTTGACGGTTCTCAGTGGAGAGGCTGTATCTACGGTGGTCTCCACATGCTACTGGATAACAAACAAAGTGATATGCTGACCGCTACAGATAATAATAATAATAATAATAATAATAATAATAATAACAACAATAATAATAATAATAATGATTATTAATGATAATAATAATAATAATAATAATAATAATGGATAGAACTTATATAGCACATAGGACACTCAAAGATGCTTTTCACACACTCTCACATTCACACACTGCTAGTGATGGTAAGCTACATTGTAGCCACAGCCGCCCTGGGGCGTTCTGACAGAGGCGAGGCTGCCATTTTGCGCCGTCGGCCCCTCTGACCAACACCAACACAGGCAAGTTGGGTGAAGTGTCTTGCCCAAGGACACAACAGCTGAATACCCCTGGCAGGAGCTGGAATCAAACCCATAACCATGAGGTAACCTGCTCTACCACCTGAGATACTGGTGCCCCAAGATGTCAGTCACTGAGGCAGTCTGCCATTTTCCATCAACAAAGACGCATATATATCATTTTTCTAAATAAACTTCTACCTCTATCTGCTCTCAAATAAAAACCCAAATCTAAAAAAAAACAAAGTTGATGTCAACGCTTTTTCAAAACACCCTTTGGCATTTTTGTTTTTCAGCCCACCAACAGAGTGCTGTGATTGGCCCACCAAACCAATAGAGTGCTTTGATTGGACCACTACTGGCGTCAGTCAACACGGCAGCCTGACATACATGTGACAGAAGCAGGGAGAAAGTCTAAAATACATAGTTTTTTTTCTAAATAAACGCGCTGTGATTGGCCAGTCACGATGCTGGCTGCAATTGAGGAGGTTTCAGTGGAACATTGCAAAACAAATTATATAGAGCTCTGTTGCTCGTCCTTTGTGAGAGTATCGGCCTGTTGAAGCAATTATACAAGCTAAATGTATGCATCACACCTGCCCACACAGCACATGTGCCAACATGGCTGCCCAGGCATTTACGCATATGAAGAAGCAAGGACTAAGGCTGTGTCTCAATTCAGGGTCTGCATCCTTCGAAGGACCCAGCCTACTCGGCCGACGTGGGCTGGGTCCTCCGTCGGCTGGGTAGACCGGATGTTAACGGCTGTGAATTTGGACAGGCCTAGCCTTCATGAACTCCCTCGGCGAACGTTCCGTCGCCTAGCAACCGTGGAACCGCTGGGCAGAAGGGAGAAGGAACTTTAAACGATGGAGCTCGACGTTTTATTTAGCTTTTTAACCCCCAGAAACCCAAATTTAGAAAACAACTGCAAAATATTTTTTTAACCTTTCACATGTTGTTCTAGGAGGCCAGATAAACGGGCCTATTTACACATTTTAACAGCCAATAGTGTTGCAGAACTGAACAATAGGACCTATTAGCAATGTAAATGTGGTTTTAAAAAGAAAAAAAATGGGGAAGGTTTATTCTTGTAGACTTAAATCTGATGTTGTAATATTACAACCGTGGGTCTCTGGGGGTTAATCATTTCCTTGACTGTTGGAGAGCTAATTCAGAGAAAATACTTTCAACAAGCTGAGCCTGAGCAAAGATGTGATAATAGTTTTTAATACTTTCTAAGGGTCTTAATTTGACCAAAACCGATTTATCACCTTTTAAGACTTTTCAAGACCCAGCGGATACCCTCTAGTAAACAATTCTCATTTGTAAACAAAAATAAAATTCAAGAGTTTAATGCAGAACTGATTTTGTTTAGATATTTCTTTTATATGTACATGTTTAATCTTCCTTAACCATTTTTTTCTAGCAAAGTAAAAAGCTGTCAAAGTTCTTCCTTCTCTCCTGTGCTCTCTGCTGCTCTGCCTCCCTCTGCAGCCTCATGTCCTCCCTGATCAGCTCCAGAAGCTGGTCATCGCTGTCACCTTCCCCTGGATGCCCATTTTCTCCAGAATAGTCTTAACAAACATGTAAGAAAAGAAACAGGAAGAGAAAAGAGGACAACGGGTTATTCCTTTCATGTTTTCGCAGAAAAAAATAAACTCAAACGAGTTTTTTTTAAATATGAGATGTTATTGTACCTCCATGCCACAGCCGCCGAATACTTTGCTCCGGTGATCATGTGGTCCATCTCCGCCCTAAGCTTAATAAATTCCCTGGTTTTCTCTTTTGTTCCTAAAATACAAACTTCTATTAAAATCAGGGGGAAAACGTAGTGGGAGAAGTACAACACCGAGCGGCCGAACATACGAGCCGAGACCGCAATACAAGCACTTTTACTGTAACATTTCTAACTAAAATAACGTTCATGTATCACAAAAAGTCCTTAACCTGACAGTTTTCAAGTTTATACTGACATTTATATGCGCAATCCTCTCCGACAGCTCCCGCTTCACTGTCCGCCATTGTTTTTAAGTTTTTCTGCCGGCCGGCCCGCAAGGCATCTTGGGAAATGCTACCTATTGAAGGATACACCGGACCCATCCTTCATTCAGGCGAAAAGAAGGCTGCATTCGTCGACCACATTTGAAGGAGTCTTCGAATTGGGACAGGCCGAGTCGCGGCGCTGTGACGTAACCGGCCGACGAATCCGGCCGACGTAGGATGCAGACCCTGATTTGAGACACAGCCTAAGAAAGGCTTCTGTTCTCATCTATAGACAATGATTGCAACAGAACAGTGTAACCAAGCAGAGAGAGACGCCCATCATTGCTCTGCGAGTATCATGATGTAAACGGTTTGGAACATTTCCCAGATTGCATAACTGTTTCTCATCAGCAAGAACAATTGATGCAGCTTCGTTAGACCTTTTAGGGAAGAATTCATTTTGCTGTTCTTGTTTAGACCTGATTTACAGGCTCATCTTTGTAGGGTTTGAACAATTGAAGGTCAAAGGTCATCAAAGTAAATGTGAATATTACAACACTGAAAGACTGTGAAGGTATAATCCACCTTAATACAGAGTGATAAAAGCCAAAGCACATTACCTTCCTGCTAATGGATCCAACAATTACCTGTGAATGAATGTTCATTACACTGTTCACATGGCCCTTCTGTTGGTTCTTTCTTTTCACTTTACCTCCCATCGTTTTGCTTCTGGTTCCTGTGTCCTTTTCAACACTTCTGTCTCAGCATCACCCTTGTACTCTGATTTTGAATCTGGTCGATATTCTCATCAACACCTTTACTGAATCTTTATCCTACTCTCCTGCTCTTTCATTAGATTTGTTTCCTCACTCGACTGTTTCCTCTCTTGCACATCCCAAATACAATCAGTCATCAAACCATGTCACATAAAAGAATGTTTGTTGTTTGTGCTGTCAGTTTTTCAGTACACAACAGGAACTACAAGCTGCTGAGCAATGTTACATCTGGTATTTTCCTGGAAGCCCTTTTTCTGCTCAACACAGAAGCTTAAGTTGCCCAATTGTTCCATCCTGGCTTGTTAGCAGAATTGGATAAGGGGGTTGGTGAATTGGTTACATGTTGTGGTAATTGTGTCTCAAGTACTAGAAAATGTGTGTAAACAATTGAGAAAAACTGTAATAATGGCTACTTTAATGAATCTAATCAATCATTTTTGGGGAAAGCAGCTTCTAACCAACATATTTGACCATTTGAAGTTAAAATCCACGAAAGAATAAATCATAATACCTTGTTATGTTTTGTATTCTCGCAGTGTTGCGTAATCGATTCACACATCACACTAAAACAGGTTCACCTTGTTCAGTACTTCACAGATGATTCAATTCAATTCAACTTCATTATCGGACTCAAGGTCCGCATTAAAAAGAGAGATAAAAACTATACAAAAGATTATAAAAGTCATGCATACCAGTGTCTCCACATGGATGACTGGTAACGCACTGCACTAAAATGGGGATCAACCAGCATCCGCACAAGTCGGTTCTTAGAGTTATTCAATCGCAAGATAAACCTGTACATCAAATTCCTCATAATGGCTTGGAAGGTCCTGACATGAGCATTACAAAATAAAAGACTTGCACTACAGGACCAAGGCTTCCCTAGCAGAGTCCTAAATGCATCTTTGTAGGCTACTTTAAGCTTTTGCAAGCTGGCTTTCTTATACTTACACCACAAAGGTGCAGTATACAATGGTGTGCAGTAGGTTCTAAAAAGGTGGATTTTTATCTTATCAGAACACGTGGAGTTTCCTGACCAAAATATTGGCTTGGGCATACAAAGCGCGACATTGCCGGTAAATGTCGTCATCGTCACAGAGCTGATCTGTGATGATATGACCCAAATTTTTTGCTTTGTCACTGACACTTATCTTCTTGTCGACCAAGTAGAAGTCTGGCAAACAAAGATCCTTATCCCCTTTGGTTCGACAAATCAGCACAACACTCTTTTGCATTAAACTGCACATCGTACTTCAGCCCATATTCAGAGCATGTGTTTAGCAGCTGCTGAAAACCAGCACTGCTGGGCGAAATGATGGCCAAGTCATCAGCATACATGAGATGATTAATCAGATTGTTACCAATCATACATCCAGTTTTACATTTCTTGAGTTGATTTGACAAATCATCCATGTAGAGGTTGAACAGAGCAGGTGACAGTAGCCCTCCCTGACGCACCCAGTTGTTAACACCAAAGGGGGCTGATGTGGTATTGTCCCATTTAACTTGCATTGTCTGATTAGAATACCAGTATGCCAAAATCCTCACAATGCTAGCAGGGACACCTCTTTCACTTCATTTACAAAAAAGCTCAGAGTGGTTGACCCGATCAAATGCCTTAGATGCATCAATAAACCCCATCATCACTGAGGAGTTCTGTCTCAAATAAAGATGAGCTGCTTCCTTCAGGCCATAGATACACAGATCTGTTCCCAGCTTGGATTTAAAACCAAACTGGTGGTGTGTAGTTGTTATATAGTGAGAAAGTCAATAAAGCAATATCTATAACTAGCTAAGGCTATTGGCCTGTGGTTTTCCAGGCTCCCAACTTAACTAGCTTTGATTTGGATGACAGGCACTAAGGTAACAGACAGTAAAGAGTCAGGTAGCAGACCATGGGTCATGAACCCAGAGAAGCAAAGGGCCAGGAGTACAGCAATCCTGGAGCTTGCAAACTTCAGATGTTCTGCTGAGATGTTATCTGAGCCTGTTGCCTTGTATTTAGACAAGTGTGCTATGGCTTGTCGCACCTCACAAGGAGTGATAATCACTGCTTCCCTAATAGTAACATTTCCTACCTTGTATGGCTCACCTTTGACACAGTTATACAAGTCAAAGTAGTGCTGCCTCCATAACGCTGCTATATTATCAGCCCCAGAGACTCCTGTATGGCACTGGGCAGTGCAGTATTAGTCCTGTTCAGAGTCCTCACCTCATTCCAGAAGCCCCTCACATCATTAGATAAAAGCTTTTCAGCTATAGAGTCCACTCTCAAGTTCTGTTCATGTTTTACAATGTAGCGAATGGCATATGTATATCTCGCTCTGGTAAGCTTTTTATATTCCAGGACCGACCCTGGGTCTTCCTGCTTGGATCCATGCCTGATGTGCTAGCTTAGCTTCTGCTTGATGTGTCGCCACATACTTGTTCCATCCTGGCTTGTTGTTTTTAGCCTTCGCACATGTAAAGTATGGGCTACTGCAATCATAAATAGCATCAATAATACCTTCATACATTGTACAGAGGTCCTGATAGAGAGCTATATCATTACAGTTGAGATCTGTACACATAATTACATGTCTGGGTATATGTACATTACTCAAAGCAGTATCAGATTTCAAGCAATATGCCTCAAGATCCTTTTGTGAGAGTTTGGACCATTCCGTCATAACTTTATAGCCCTTGTTTACTTTTGTAATTACCTCTGGAAGACCTCCGACTTCCAGCTGCATAACAAGCGGCACATGATCAGACACAGAGTAGTTGTGCATGATCTGCATAGATTTCAATCCAGCATGGGCATCAGCAGTACTGATGCAATGATCCAGCGATGATGTTTATATAGGTGAAGAAAACCCAGCTTCCCATAGGTACAAGCAGGTGGATTCAAGCTCCGCACCATAATGTAAGTTTATTTTTAATTTCTGTCCTTTTCATTGAACATAAGCAAATACTCAACCCACCATATTTAAATGACAGTTTTTCTAAGTTAATAGTATGGGATAATTTAGGATTGAAGAAGGGCTGCACGGTGGTGCAGCAGATAGCATTGAAGCGAGAAGGTCCCAGGTTCAAATCCCGACCTGGTGTCTTTCTGTGTAGAGTTTGCATGTTCTCTATTTGCACATGTGGATTCTCTTCGGGTATTCTGGCTTCCTCCCACAGTCCAAAAATATGCCTGTCAGGTTATCTGGTCTCTCTAAATTGTCCTTAGGCGTGGGTGTATTTTTGTTTATGTTTGTTTAGTGATTCATGTTATTTTATTGTAAACAGCCTGTCTCTGCAGCAGTTTTCAGAAAGACGGAGTTCAGTGTTCGATTGAAGCATCAGTTATATTGTCATGCAAAACATCACGAAAGTCTAAAATAAATACAATGATTTGACATAATTGCTTGAATATTTCACCAAGGAACACTATAAACACATTTAATAGTAGTATCTTACTGGACTGTTGGAGAATAGAAGACTAGAAGACCCAAAACTCAAACTATGCAAATTTTTATTGTGAATTCAGTTGACTAAACTGGTACTTGACTCAGAGGTGTGACTTGTGGCATCAACAAGTCATCTCCATGTCATGTTTTTGTTCTGCTCAGCAACTGAACCAGGTTAATTCACTGTGCTGATTGAAATCACCTGGTTTATTTGCTGAGCAGAACAAAAACATGACATGGAGATGACTTGATGATGCCACAAGTCACACCTCTGGTTGTGACTGCTTTACATAAAGTTGGGTCATAGGAAGCATGTGACGTAAATGCAAACAAACTGAAGCAGTTTAGCAGATCTTCACCTCAAAGCTTTTCCACAGATTGTCTAAATTGTGCCACAATCTGGTTTCCAGACCATCCCAAAGCTGTCTAACACTTTCAGAGTTAAGAAAGGAGTTTAAATTAGGAAGCAGTCGCTCCACCTGTGGCTATGTTGTAGCTCATCACCATCATTGTGTGAGTGTGTGTGAATGGATGAATGATACACTGTAGTGCGAAGCCTGAAAGGCGCAATACAAGTGCAGGTCATTTAACATTTATCGTTTAAATCAGCAGTGTGATCATCATCTACAGTGGACAGGTGGGATTTAAGAGAAGATGCAGAATCTTTAAAGGTGTAGGGTTAAGTAAATTGAGTAGGAGCTCGATATATATATATTAACTCTACTTATGACCAATAAGCTGGCCTTTATTGTGCTTTAATCAGAAGATTCTAGGAGCCTTTATTTATTAGGGGATTGTACTCACTTCGTTTTGATTCCGAAAACAGTCAGGTTTAAATAAGTAAAAATTTATTTTACAAACAATTAAAACATGACAAGTTAGCATTTACTGTGATGGATGGAACTAGATATGATGTATGAACATAGGCGTGAATGAGATGCTAGTCAGAACTTCCGTATCTAGGAGAGGTGAGTTCTGGATGTAAAATAATTTGGTTTGCGTTAAGCTACGAGGTTGATTGTTATCAAAACCACATCCAGACGCAATCTCACTGTGTTCTACGTACCCAGGTGGAGACGCCCTTTTCGGATCCGAGATGTCAGGGGGCTCGGAGGCCCCCAGGTACCGAAGTCCGTAGATGAACTGCAGTACGACCAGGTCAGTCCAGAGTCATCTCCAGGTAACGACAGTTGGAACTAGTTTGTGTCTCAGGAATAACTCTTAACACCAACTCAGTGGCCTAGTGGTAGAGTGTCCGCCCGGAGATCGGGAGATCAGGGGTTCGACTCCTGGTCGGGTCATACCAAAGACTTTGAAAAAATGGGACCCAATGCCTCCCTGCTTGACACTCAGCATTTAAGGGGTTGGATTGGGGGGTTAAACCACCAAATAGTTCCTGAGTGCGGCTTGTCTGCAGCTCACCGCTCCCCCAGGGGATGGGTCAAATGCGGAGAATAAATTTCACCACACACCTGTGTGTGTGTGACGACTAAATGGGACTCTTAAGGAGTTGAACAAATCAGCTTGTTCTGCAGGAACTATCTTGTTGTATCAGCTTCGCAGGTGCAAACAGGTTTTGACGACGTGTCAAAAGCTTTGGTGGGTTAAAGAGGTTTTTGCTTCAGGTGGCCGGGCCTGAAGCTTCTCTAGAACTCATCACCAGCGT